GAAGAAGTACCTTCAGCGCAACGGAGATGCTGCTGCTAAGCAGGTGGTTGAGAAGAAGGATGCTACTCGTGATGAGCTCTACAATGCTGCTCAGTCCGCTTACTCTTCCGCCTCTTCGGCTGGAGGATCTACCTGGGCTTCAGCCACTAGCTACCTCACTTCTGCCACAAACTCTGCGAAGCAGTCTGCCTTCGATGAGTGGACCGAGACTGACCTCAAGGCCTACCTCGATAGCTATGGTGTGCCTGTGCCTCAAGGATCCAAGCTTGAGGATCTGAAGGCTGAAGCACGAAAGCAATCCACCTACTTCAAGTACGGCACCAGCTCCCCTACTGGAACTTTCTTCGCTAAGCTCGGAGAAACCGCCCGCGACACCTACAACTGGGTTGCCAACCAGCTTCAGCTTGGTGGCCAGGCTGCGAAGCAGAAGGCTGCGGTGGCTGAGGCTGATGCCAAGGCAAAGATCCGCGAGGAGCTGTAATGAGTGGAGGATACACGAAACATTTGACCTCGGTGCTCAGATGGTTGAAGAGCCTTATGGTCTTGGCCCATGTGATATCAGTGTGGCAGATTGCCATTGATGAAAAAGCGAGGAGACAAGGTCAAAACTGGCTATAGTTCAGCCATAACGATGATGCAGATTATGGTATTTGATCGTTTGCTTTAGCAGCTAGTTATGTTTTACGGATCCTATTTTGTTAATCTCATAAGAAGAACGTCCGTCAATGTGAATGCCAGTAAAACATATAATGCTTTCTAAGACTCTTCACCAATATTGCATGGCGTCTATAGCTAACGCTTGCTGCCACTCATTACCTTATCAACAATGCACCTCTGATATACACTATAATGTAGATCGGAGGATTTTTTATATTCGACGGAAAATCTAGAAACAGGATCACGCAGCAGAACATGTTGATGTGAAAGTATAAACGAAAATATGATGTGATTCTGTTTTCTGTTTCCTAACGCCATCGCTGGAAGAAAGTCCACGGCGACCAAAATTAAGTACTCTTCCCCCTTCACGGTGTGGGTAGAACCATTCACCAAACCGGCATCATGCCCAGAGTCTGCAGGTTCCATCTGCACCAGCGCTGAGACACCAAGGGTGCTTAGGGTGCCAGTCTACGTCAAGGACACCCAGCTTGTTGATTACTTTGTGGCCCTTGAGCATCTTGACTGGGACAATAGTGGCGTTCTCCATAAGATCGCTCACAACCTTGCCGTGGAAGATCTGTAATGTTCCATCATCACTGGCATCAGCGAAGAGAGGCAGGCTGCGGTGGAATTTGACAGCGCGGATTGCTTCAGGGTGGAATCGCATCGTCTTGTAAGGGCGAGACGACAGATCAAGATCATGCCACAGCAGTCTTCGATCGTATGAGCCAACAATAAGATTATCTCCACCAGGGTGAATATCAAATGAAGAGATCCATCGCGCACCAGGTTGAACAACCTTGACAAGTTCCTGACGCTGGAGATCGTAGCACCTGATCATTCGCTGAGTAGCAACAAAGAACAGTGGCCTTGAAGGATGGAACTGAGCCGTCTGGGCAAGACCAGGCAGCTTTCGGAAAGGAATTTGACTGAGATGCTTGGAGAGCGTATGGATGGCGACTGAGCTCCTTTGTCCGGTTGGTGAGACAGTGGAGATGAACTCACCTCGCCTGTGCCAGCTGATAACCTTGATCGTTGACCTAACAGTAGCCACGAGGAGCACACCGGCAGCTTCCAGCTTGGCCCCAGGTCGTGACCACTTGGCAGGAGGTTCTTTCTTCACACCGTTGACTGTACTGGGCTGTGCACCATTCGTAGCGTAGCCGAAGCCAGCGTCGAGAACATCGCGACTAGCCTTCTCAACAGCGTCACTAGCTACCGAGGGGATCATGAAAAAGAGATCCTCTCCAGCTGCAGCTGCCAGAATAAAGGTCTCCTTATTGGGTCGCCATCGCACAATATTGACAGGCTCATCGCTGCTAAGCTTTGCCATCCATTCTTGGTGGCCGTTGAGAGCCCAAACACGGACTGTGCCATCATCACCCCCTGAAGCCACAAACTCACCATCTGGACTAAACGATACCGAACGGACTCGACCATCGTGGCCACGGAAGATGGTCTGGTTGAGGGTGGGGAACGGCTTGAGATCTTCTGGTCGGGGAAGCTTAGGCAGAAGAGAGTTGGGATCGATATTGAGCCTGTTCTTCCTGATTCGTGGGGCGAGGTAAAGATCCAGACAGCGATCGAACCGTTCCTTGACGAACTCGCCATAACCAGGAACTTTACGCAGCGAGTCAAATTTAGCAGGCAAGTACTCCTTTCCTCTCTCCTCGGGATCTTGGTTCTTCCAGGCTTCCTTTTCCTCCTCGGTCGGCAAGTACTCGGGTGGTGGGTTATAGCTAAGGTCGTATCCAGGAGGAGCAAGCTTGGGAGCTGGGATGTTCATCACATGGGGGTCTTGAGGCTCCTCGTTTGCCCATACATCGTAGTAAGACTCTTCTTTCTCCTCTTCTTCTCGTTGTCGCTCCTCGGGAGGCTTGTATGGTAGGATACGTCCTTCTTTGATGGCTCGGACAAGCTTGGCAACACGCTTGGCTTCATGCTTAGAGGGAACGAATCGCCGCTTCGGTTCTGGCGCAGCACTCAGAGGCATCTTCTCCTCAATACTGGTGAAGTATGGCACCATATCCTGGGATAGTTAGCGGTGTCGAGCAGTGGCACAGAAGTGAATGACATACGGGGTAAGGATCGTAATCTTCGTTGGGAACCTCATTCATTTGTAGTCGCTTAAGAAGTTCAAGCTGGTCCTGGGTCAAATCCAAAGGCTTTCCAGTTTCAGGATCTGTCAAGCCAGTCCAGCCCTTGGGAATCTCAATACTGTCGAGGAGAGCATCTAGAGCTTCCCCGGTGGCTGGGCGCATAATCTTCTTGCCGTTGATGTCGTATCCGATGTGAGGATAGGAGTCGTAGAAGGAGAGGGGAATGTTGCCAATGGTGTTGGTTGGACCTTGGGCATCTGAATCGTCGCTGTCATAGACAGGATCAACCTCGGCGTACTCATAGCGCTCCCCGCCATTGGCATCCTTGACGACGCGATAGTTTGGTTGGGAATCATCAGTGTCGAGTGGTGGAGGGGCCGCGAAGCTGTCGTCTACGTCGGATGAGGCGTCTTCGCTGTACGCATCATCGTCCTCGTCATCTTCATCTTCATCATCGTCGTGCTCATTCGTGTCTTGGCCGTCGAGTCCATCCTCAAGATCGCTTTCCTCAAAGTCAGATCCATCTTCACTCTGTGACAAAACGCCGTCCAATTCCACGCCGATGAGCTCGTCGTCAACAGGAGCAGGTTCTGCGAGAACCTTTCGCTTGCGTGATGCCAATGTTGGTGCCATTGGATCCATCCAGTTGGTCAAAAGGAATTTTACAGAAGTTTAGCGGGTTGATTGGCAGGGAAGCCAAAGCGATTGTTATTTTTTTTTTTTTTTGCGACAGATAAGATAAGACTAGAGGAGTTCGAACATTGGAAGCTACGCTGGCTGGAGAAAGGCGGGGCCAAGCCAACGATAACGATAAAAGAGTGGTCCATCAGGGTAGATACCTACGCTTGGTACGGATGAGTACTCAATCATCATGTCAAGAACAACCTTGTACTTCATGTTAGTGGTTGGGATAATCATTTTCGTGCCGCTGTGACGAGCCCATGGCTGTTTGAAATTGGCCGACTATAACAATTGGAACACAGACGGGAGAACGATTAAACCCTCGCCTACTAGAACTGAAAGACCCAGCGAGATAATATTACACTACTCTTATTGATTGCACAAATGGCAAGGCTAGCCATCTCGACTATACATACATAGCATCAAAACTTGGCGTCTTGATCCAGGTCAGCTGCCAGGAACAGCTTGCCTGACGCCAAAGTTGACTCGATTCAGATCCTTGACTCTGCTCATCGAAGTTGAATGGAGAAAGGCGTCGGGCATTCCGAACCACGCGACCAACGGTTAATATAATCAGCCGCAGTTGTGAGTTTCTTTCATAATCCGCTTTGTATGCAGTTGAGGCTAGACTGTTCCGAAAACCATTCTGCGATCCCTTTTGCCCAATACTGTCTATCTGTCTGTTTGTTGGTGGCTGAATCTATTAGCCAAGTTGGGAATAATATCAACTCACACTGAGTTTTGGTAACAACCAACAACAAGACACTAACTTAGCACGGAATACCGAATTTTAGAAGCTCTCGATAATTCAACAATGCTCTCTTAAGGTTTATGGGTGGTCTCAGGGTTGTATCTAGAGAAGAAGGATAAAAAACAAACATAATAAGGACTTGCTCTTCACTGTTCATGGTCATACCACTAGCACTTACGAAAATTCAATTTCCACATGCCCTGATACCTGATATCGGTCACATATCGATGATCGGAATTTCTGGAATCTTTCCAAACAAAAAAGAATCAGTCTGTAAATTTCATCTTGTGGCTTACGAGAGCCAGCTGAGCTTTCCTACCCTTATTCCACTTGCGGAACTGGAGCCTCTCTTCCATATTGAATAATATATGGCCAAGGCTTGGACCCTGATCTAGACGCATACGAATATGGCTTGGTTTCTGCATTGGCACTTCACAATAGAGACCGTTATAGACCACACTCGTGGCTGTTGGCCCATCGCCTATCAAATGCCACACCAACCTGATCGAGGCTCTGACATCTGCCCATGCCAAGAAAGATCTACAACTTGGTTCAGACCTCTATCGATGATTTGCAAAAGGGTCGCCCCTATATTTTGGTTATAACCACCAACTGGCGTTGGTGGTTCAGTGAGCCAACAGCACGTTCTGACTCTTGGCAATGGTTCTGGACCGTTTCCAACAAGACTGGCAGCTTGACCAGTATCCGAAATCTAGGAGAGAGGTGAACTATGTTGGTGTATAATTTAAATGCCCCGGGCCTGGCAATGCGGCTCCCTATACTGACGGCAGTGAGTTCACACCACGTCCAATATGCGCCTTCGTCCAACTTGTGTGCCATTGATGGAAATGGTGCTGTTCTTTACTCTTGTCAATGCCGCGGCACCCGTAGTCAATGTATCATACAGCAAATACAGGGGCAATGAACCTGGAAACGATGTTACTCACTGTTTCGGAATGCGTTACGCTGAACCTCCTCTGGGTGATCTCAGATTCATGCCTCCTCAAGACCCAGTCAGGAGTCGTCAGACAAAGAACGCAAACAAGGTGAGTAATTCCAATACACTGAGATTTGAACCTACTAGACACTACAACAAACTCAGTTCAGGCTCAAATGCTTTTCCCAGAGCGCAAAAGCTCGATTCATTGGAAAGTCACAGTCTGAAGATTGCCTGTTCCTCAATGTGTTTGCGCCGTCAAACGCGTCCAGGCACGCCAAGCTCCCCGTCTTCGTCTACATGCAAGGCGGAGGCTTCAACGATAACTCTAGACCCAAGATAGACGGAGCTGATCTGATCAGAACTTCGGATATGAAAATTGTCGTCGTCACTCTGAATTATCGTGTATCAGTTCTAGGCTTTTTCTCATATGGCGATAAGGTGCAACCAAACAATGGCCTCCTCGACCAAAGAAAGGCCCTGGAGTGGGTGCAGAAGTATATATCAAGATTTGGAGGCAACCCGCGACATGTTGTTCTTGGGGGTAGTTCCTCTGGGGGGGCGAGCGTGGCCTTCCATCTCGCAGCATACGGAGGGAGAAATGATAAGTTGTTTCACGCTTCTGCAGCTGAATCAATATCTGCTTCACCTATTAAAACAGTGGAACAAGCGTAGTATCAAGCAGAAAGTTTCATCGAAAATGTCGGTTGCTCCTCCGAAGATGCCATTGCTTGCATGCCAACCAAGACTATCGCCGAAATCATAGCCGCTAATATCAAGGTCCCATACCCTGGAGGCACACGACTATCAATCGGGATGTGGGGTCCTGTTATTGATGGAGATTTCGTAAGAGATGCTCTCTGGAACTCGTTCGACCAAGGGAAGTTCGCCATGGTCCCTTCTATCATCGGTGCCACAACCAACGAGGGAAGAGCATTTGCACCAGCTGCATCCTCAAAAGTAGAAGTCGAGGATTTTTTCAAGGCCAGGTTTCCGCTTCTTGAATCAACTCATATGGCTCAGATCACAGCCTTATACCTCGGTTTGGCAGATACATGTTCGAAAGCTGGCTGTCTCAAACGACCCCTAAGCGATGCATACGGATACATGAGGTTTCAATGCTCAGGCATCTCGTTCTCAGAATCAATCTCCCGCTGGAAGCCAAAGAAAACCTGGAACTACTGATATAACGTCGAGGATCCAGGTTTTATGGCTCAGGGGAGAGGTGTAGCTCATTGTGACGAGGCTCATGCAATATGGGGGCCGGCAAGGGAGGCTCCGGGGCACCCCGAAGCTACTTCCCAGGTGGGATCAATGCTAATGCAGTCAACGTCATTCAAGGCTATTGGATAAGCTTTATTTGATCTTGCAACCTAAATAAATACAGGCTTCTTGATATAACGATGTAGGGAGTCTATTCGAAGGCCTTAAGGCACAGGCTGGTATTTAATACAGGGGGCAGGACTAGCTTAGTAAGCATGATACTGGATTTACAGGATAAATACACTTACTTTAGCTTAATTATATTATAACCCTAGCGGTTATATTATATATAGTATAAGGCCTCTATAAGATTTAATTAATACTATTATAATATTTAAAAATAACTATCTAGTTTTTTTTTCTTACTATTAGCCTTATAAGGCTATTAAGCTATTAACTTTATATATAAAGGCTTAAATAATAAGGCCCCTATAGTAGGCCTATATCCTAAAGGTTAGAATTTTATAAGGTTTATTTGCCTTAATAATATAATTACTGCCTTAATTAAGTAATATTAATATTACTTACCTCTTAGCAGCTATATTAGCCTTATTCCTTTAACCTACCTAAAAGACTAAAATAATACTGCATTAAGTTTATTATAAAGTATATTCTCTAACCTAACTTTCTCTCTATTAATTATAGTTATTAATATAATACTATAAAATATCCTATAGTTATATAATTATACCTATTATATAATTAGTTATAACCTTAATCTAGCTATTAAATTTATTATAAAGATAGTTAATAAAAAGAAATATAAAGAGATATATATAATAGTAGCTATAATTAAAAAGAACTTCTTATTAAAAAGCTAATCTGGCCTTATTAAAATAGCTATCTTTAATTATAACCTAATTAAGTTAATCTATTATATAGGCCCTTTTAGCCTAATTAATCTAATTTAGGTTAATTATAAGCTATTAGGCCTAAAGGACCTAAAGAGAGGCCTAAAGAAAGGTTATTTCCTTTAATTAAATTAGGTAGCTTTCTTTATTGCCTTTATAGATAACTTAAATATATATAAAAAGTGGCTTCTTAATATAGCTAAAAGGGTTATTATAGTAAAGGAGGAGCTACTTTTAAATTAATAAGAATAGTATATTTATATATAGAGTTAGATAAATATAGGATAATAGTAAGGATTAAAGGTTATAC